CCAGCTTCTTTAAGGTATTATAGACAGATGCTCTGTTCATGTGTGCTCCAAAGCATCGTTAGGGTTCAATCTCCATTTCTATAAATCAATTTTGGCAGCTAAGAGGATGATGCAATTATAATTTCTAAAGTCCTAATTATTCATGCTTTTTTTTCTGAAATCCAAGGAAATCTAGGTAAGTAAGTTTCAGTCAGTCACAGTACTGTCACCTTCACAAATGTTAGTAAATTGTTTTTATTGTTGTCCTTAATTGAGTACAAATGTATATTTAATATCACTTTATTCAACAATAGGAAAAAACCCTCAACACCATGGAAAGGAACATTTAATATTGTAACTCAAGCATTTATGCCGAGAACAGTTTCAATTAATGCCTTTATAAAGTTGTTTGATAAAAACTTTTCGCTGGATTCATATTTGCCACTGTGGCTTTTACACCAAACTGCCAAAGCAGTAGCTATACATTTTCATTCACAGTACTTATCAAAAGATGATTCACTTTTTTAGTTTATTATCTAAAGATGAAAGTGACTTTTGCTCCATTCTTTCCATGTTTAAAAAAAAGAATAACTTTTGGAATGGAAAAGTTTTTGTGTAATTTCAGTGCAGAAAAATGTGTTTTTGTACTGACGAATGTTGAATGGTCTAAAACCTTCACTTTGACATCTTTCCAGGTGATAATCTTCTTGACCTCTTCTTCTGACCCAATCCCCATAAGTGCTCAGAAGAATAGAAGAAAGGATGTAGAGAGGGCTCCTCCAGAGCTAGTGGGATGGTGTTCTTGTCATTTATACTCAGAAGGAGAAGAGAAATGACAGTATCACAAAGAACAAGAACAGGGCCCTCCAGTGATCAATAGTGGGCCTCTTTACGGAAAAGGGGGTTTAGGAAATGATCAGTTATGCCAACTTTCAATATTGCCTTTCTTATAGGACAAAAAGTCACAACCCAAACTCTCATTACAGAGCGCGAGAGATGGAATGCTAGTTCTAAATCATAGAAGCAGATTCTAAATGAATGCCAGAAAAAAAGTTCCCAACCATAAAAGCAGAGGTTGGACAGCCATCTGTCAGGAATACTCTCTGAGCAGCTGTTGGAGTTTTGACCTAAAAGGCCCTTTCCAATTCTATAAAAATACAATTAGTCTAAACACAATTTAGACACGGTCGAATGCTGATTTTTCAGTTAATATATGATGTTTGCATTTTCAGTGTAATTAAATACTCGATACATGATTGGCTTATCATAGTTGAAAATACTCATTAGGTTTCTTTAAAAGAAATTTATTCTACTGAATGATACCCAAAGGTCCAGCATATGACAAGAACGTGGGATAACTTTTAACCTACCAACTAACATCTTCACATATTTGAGTTATTGAAACAGCCTTTCAGCCATTTATTTATTCTAGTGCCCCTGGTTTTGAATAATACTGTTCTGGAATAAATTTTTTACTAATTCCATTTTCAGTTGCCATGCCATGTAACTATTTTAAGCTGGCTCAACTAATTTTTAAATAGAAAACCATGTTAATTCTTCTGTAATCAAATACAAATTAACATATGCTCGCATTCAGCTCTGGAAGAGGTTGCTGCTAGAAATCCTTTTGAAATAATTTACCTACTTTTCCATAATAACTGGTCATGGGAAGTGATCACTAGACACAAAGTATTTGCACGCAAACTCAAATCACCCTAAGTGAGTATTTGTAATGAAATGTGTGGTGAGATGTCTACTGCACATTAGTTTTCCATGCACAGAAAGGAATGTACACAGTTATTTTAAGTGACTGCTGCTTGTCTCCAGATAGTCACACAAAACAGTCCTTATACGGAAGCTCTTGAGTTTTTTGGGTTTTTTTAGCACGGTAAAAAACACACTTTGAACTAATTCAGAAAACCCATCTGACATGTCAAAGAAGAGTGTTAATACTGATCTGTTAAGCAGTTGGCTTCTTAATTCAAGGAGGGTGGGGGCTACCTGCCCCAGGTGCAGGCAATAGGGGAGATGCTGATGCTGGACATACAAGGAGGCCAGTGGTGGGTGTGTAGTTGGGTTGTTGCTGCCTGCGTGGCAAACAGCTATTTGGTGGTCAGTGGTGGCATAGCAGTGATGAAGGGCAAAAAAAGAAGTGCCTTCAAGTCAGTTTTGACTCCTGGTGACTGCCCCCTGCAGTTTTCTTGGCAACATTTTTCAGAAGTGGCTTGCCAGGTCCTTCTTCCTAAGACTGAAAAAAGTGACTGGCCCAAGGTCATCTAACTGACTCTGTGGCTAAGATGGAACTAGGACTCTGAGACTCCTGTTTCTAGACTGGCTCTTAGCACTGAAGCGGGGGTGGGGGTGGGGGTGGATCATGAAAAAGGATCTGCTCTGGGTGTCAAATATGCTAGCTACACCACTGCCTTTAGGAAGTTAGCTACCTGTGACTGGTCAAGATGCCGCCTCTTATATGAGATTTTGAAGATAAAACAAAACAGTTCGTTCATGATTTGTACAACACAATGCAGATAAACTTCAAATGTGCCAAATATGAAAATACACATATTTTCCACTCTTTTCTGTCTGGCTCTTTGTTTGCTATAATTTTAAAAATAAATGGTTGATCTCCTACCATCATTAAAATTTAATTCTATGAATTTGTGGAATGTGGAATGTTGTTGCTTATTTTCCATAACGGGCAGTTAGCTGTGTCTTTAGAACCAAAAATTATTTTATAAACACAGGAGATGATTCCAATATTCCTAATAAATGAACAACTATTATGACTATTTACTGCCTCTAGGAATCAGAGGCAGCACACCTTACATACCAGCTGCAAGGTAGCAACAGTGAAAGAGAGCTACTGCCTCTTGTTCAAGTTGCTAGGCCTCCTGAATTCCTAAAATGGGCCATTGTCCAATACAGAATACTGGCTTAGATTGGCCCAGTGGGGCTCTTTCTAACTTCTTATGTACTAGATAAAAATGTAAGCTGTGTTGGTAACAGCTGAAGCTATCAGCTAGTGCCTTCCGATCAGCAGTATTACTGACTAAGGCAATACAAGTAAAGGCATACAAATGCATTCTGACTAACATACCAAATGCTTGAGTTGGAGGGGGAGAGCCTGATTTTTTTCACTTTATAGAACAATTGCCAATTGTTCCTATCTTTCAATTCTGAGGAAACATTCTCCTTGCACAGGATTAGGCAACTTGGTACTTTGCAGATTTTTTTGGACCTTAATTCCCATCAATCTCAGCCAGCACAGCTAATGGGAAGGAACTGTAAAAACTTTCATTAAAAACATCTGGAAGGCCAAGAGTTGTCTGCTTCTGCCATCATAAAACTAGTGCTACTTTTTCTAATATTTCTAGCCATAGGCAGATCTTTTCACTTCAGATACAGATTAAAATAAGGATGGGCAACCTGCCATCCCCTTTTCATAGCCCATGAAAGACCCAACATTATGCTATAGAAGCAAACTGCTAAATAATTGTAATGCAATCTTCCTTAGCTTGGGAGTCAGAGGAATGAAACTGATGCACTAAGCCTTCAATGGCCTTATTGCATCTACTTAAAAACAAACCTAAACAAAATGAAAATCTGTTGGCCCCAGTTTCAAAAGAATATAAAGCAAAGCAAAGAATGAAAGGCATCTTACAATCTGGCCCAGGAAGCATTCACTAGTTATCTTGATCCTACCAACTGGTACTGGAACTAACAAGCTGTTTCTATCTAGGTCAGCCCACCTGAAGTTCTCCAGATGTGCTGGACTGCAACTCCCATCTCATCCCCAGCTGAAGATGATGGGAGGTGTAATCTAAGCCATGTGGAAAATGTCAGGTTAGGGAAGAGTATCATAAATCAGTGGCTTAGCTCTTTACAAATAATTTCTTAGCACATATATCTACGACTTAACCCTGTAGTGAATGGGCATGAAAGAGAAATTCTATGCACTACCATACTATTTCACTGTGAAGGGTTAGAGTCCCCATTTGTCCACTGTAACATGCAGAGCACTTCTCATACTACAAATCCCAGTAACATTGACATCAAAATCTTCTCTCTTCAAGGAGTATTCATGTGAGGAACTATGATATATGGTATCAATGCTAACAGAAGCACAGAGAAAAAGCAGCAATGTGAACCTAACGTGTAGACTAGGTCTGAGTTGGAGGTAAGCTTGAAAACACAGGATATGAAGTTGATTTATGCAGTGATTCGGGAACAGCTCCAAACTATTCTATCCAAACACAGGAAACTAGAAGACTTCATATCGTCTGTCATATATACTGTTCTTGTTTTGAGTTATAAAGAAATCTAACGGAGCATTGTGGAATCCAGCTACATGATTCCTTTAGCAAATGTTGCTTGACAGAATAGATTGGTTCAATTTTCTTTCCCTCCCAAGGCCACCACATCCTCAAATTATGCACTACAGAATTCTTAAATCTTATGAAAAAAAATGTGGCCCATTTACACAGGTGAATATTGAATTTATGTAAGTGCTGCCCCCAGTGCCGTGGGGCTTGGGAGAAGCTTGGGAAGCTGAACCAAGTCCCAGAGGAAATACCATGAATACATTTTTGCAGTGTTTCCTTAGGAAGTATGAGGCAAACAGCCTTCCAGTGGCCAGAACTCCCTCCTTCTTGCTTTAGGGGTCAACTCCTCATAAAGAAAACAGTTGCCATCCCCCTTCCCCCATAAAAAACAAATGTAGGGGGGGAAGGGAAGGGAAGGGCAAGAGTGGGGCTGCAGCTGACCTGCCATTTTAGCCAGTTGAAGAGGGCTTAGGCCAGCAACTTGGGAAAATGGGACACAGGCTGAATTATGTGGAGGGCTGTGTTGAAACACTGCTTTAGAGCATGTGAACATATGAGGGAAATTAAAAAAAAGGAGAAACATTCAAATTTTGCTAGGTGTTGGATATCACCCAAAGAAAACATTAAATGAAGCCAATCCCCAAAATTCTGCCTGTATACATTATAAAAAAACAAGGCATTATATGGAACAATACTGACCTAGCAGCAATGTAGAGGGATCTGTCCATTATCATGAGCAACTGGATGTCCAGTCTGTGCCTTTGTGGAGTGTTGTGTCCTGGTTTGTGACCCACAAACACTGGATACTGTTTTGTATCTATAAAAAGCAGAGAAGATTGAAAGAAAAGCCAGAAAAAAATAAGGACAGTGATAGATTCCTAGTTGCTATAGTTAATATGGTTTTGATTATAGTTAAATCACACAGCAATAATCCAATTGATCACAGTCTTCTGATTTGTAAGGAGAGTGGCTTTTATATTCTTTATCATCATCATCAACATCATCTCCTTCAGAAGACAATGCCCTTCAGAAACTCTAAAGTACATCTCCTATCATTCTTGACAACTATCTATAATGCCTAGGGCTGATGGTATTTGTAGCTCAACACATCTAGAGTGCGTATGTTAAGAAAACTTCCTTTAGGCATTTCAATATTTAACACATTTGGGTTTCTTGTCAGTCTTTGCAGCATTCTAAATAGCTAGATTTGGCTTAGTAAAGTTGATCTGTCAGGATAAGATGTCTTACAGGAATCTATCAATTACTCTAATAGCCACTCTGTCTTGTGATTAGAAGAAATGGACATGACTACAGGTTGCTTGCACAGGGTGACATACTAACCATATTTCTGGAAGGGATGAGAGGGACTCATTCACTGAACTTCTCAATAATTTCACAGTTCTGTACCAGTAAAGACAATTTTTTTAAAAAAAATTCTTTGCAAACTGTCTTGTAAGGTTTATATTGGAAAGTTAATTATATTCTTTTTTATTTTATTATTTTCTGAAATGTCTGAAGTGCCCTCAAATGGAGGCTAACCTTGTAAAGTTTTAGAAGCAGTAGATAATCTGTCCAATTCAATAGGTTTGTGTTCATACACATGGGTTATGTACACAATAACAAAAATAAATCCTTTTTGGCTACTAAAAAAAAAAAACCCAAACAAAACCAGAAACCAAAAACATTTTGATGACTGTTAATAACTCAAAATGCAAAGAGATGCCTGAATAGTGAATAGAAGTAAAAGGGAGATTGGCATGACTGATAAAATAAGGGAACTAAGGAAATTCCCCTGCAGTTCAGTAACTTATTGGTTCATGCAAGGGTGAGGTACCTGCAAACACAGAAATGATACCAGATCATACCAGTCATGACCATCCAATAAAACACTAGGCCTAGTTTCCTACAATTCTTAGCAGAAAACAGTTAAAATTGGTGTGCAAGGTTTGTTTAGGTTTAATGCAGAAAACACTCATTCACCCATTCTCCCCCCACCTCAAATCCTAGTTCCATTCCGATGTCACTACATTACCTCTCTGTATATAAAAAAGTAATCTGTAGCTGAAGAAAAATTTCCCAAACCTGATTTAATGGATTTATTTCTTGCCCTTCTGCCTTAACACTGAAGTACAGAATCAATAGAGCGGAAAACGTCAATTCAACAGGACCAGGATTCATTTCTTTCTTACACAACAGTGAAAAAGTTTAGGATTTGACTTGCTGTAATGCTGGTTAAAGTTCAGTGAAATGTTTATGTCTGGAATTTGGGTGAAATGTGGATGCAGGTACTTTGAAAGAGTTGATTTCCTTAATTTAAAATACAACAACTCAGACCTCCATATGGATTGTGTGCCTTGAATTAGGATTAAATAAAATGAGTTGTGCCTATTCCTTCCTTCACTTGGTAAAGGTGACTGCTGGCCTGATTAGTAAATAAATTTGATCTAAGATGCACCATGCCAGAAGACAGCAATCAGCTATAACACATACTCAGTTATTCAAGCAAATGAGTTTGGTTACCCAGTATAACATGCAAATTTTTTTGAATAAGCAGACAATATGGTCAGGAATACAGTTAATGTTTTCTCAAAAATTAATCTGGCAGATTATTTCCCATCACATCATTCAAATGAAAATATCCTAAGCAGAAGTAAAGGCAGGAAATAAGACAAGCTCCAATTAAATATTATTAATACATTTATTTTAATTATTCAAACTTAAGATACAGAACATTAGCTTGTTTCTGCATCCCTTCCTTTTGTAAATTAAGCTAGAAAATTAAGCTAAGCCCTTTCACTTCTGTCTTCCAGCACCATATCTCACAAATCAAATTCAGTGTTCGCTTTTAGGACTTGCACCAAATACATCCTTATGGGGAATCCTTCAATCTCTAAATCTGAGAAAGCCCAGGACAATGTCAAACTAAGTCTAGTTTGGTGGGTCTACTGTGTCTTTAAAGGTCAGTTAAAGATTGTTTCTTCAAAAAGAAGTTTAAATCCATGTTGCCATGATGAAATAGAATCTTCTGAGATCTCCAGTGTCTGTCTGCGACTTCTCCTGTATTATTTTATGTATATCAAAGTAAAAAACATTTTTGACCCTTCATTTATTATTTCTCTGGAGTCCTTGGGGTTCTCTGAGTTTAGTTGTTTTCTTGCAAATGTTTCGTTACCT